GCCTCGAGATCTTTTGTAAATACATTTTTAGAGTTTCTCAACAAGTGATTTCATTATATTCTTTTGTTCACATTTACTCAATGTATTTTTATTTGTAGTACATTTGTAAATATCATCAATAAAAAAAAAAATTATAGTTATCATTGAAATAAATGTTGTTTTTTTTAACAAGTTTATTGAATAATAATTAGTGTTGCACAAAGACGAGTCTTGGTCTTACAAATTGAGTCATGCTCTTAGTCTTGGACTTGCAGTTACCTATTAGCTTATTGCTATAGAGATATTACTGTAATTTTTTAGAGAGGAGAAATCTAACTAAGCATGAATGAAAAATTAGAAGAGTTAAATGCAGAAGTATATTGGTTACACCAATTCTTTATATATAGCAACTAAAATTGTCAAGTATTAGTAACTATTTTGCCTCAATTTTTATTCAAAAAATCAATTTTTTTTACTAGTCTTAGTCTTGGTTTTGCAACAGATGGGCAGTGTTGGTCTTGGTCTTGCACACTCAGTCTTGCTCTTAAGCAAGAGTCTCACAACAGTCTTGCAGTTACCTATTAGCTTATTACTATAGAGATATTACCAATATTTTTTAAATACGGGAAACCTAACTAAGCCCGAATAAAAAATTAGAAGAGTTAAATACAAAAGTATATTGGTTATACCAATTCAATACATACAGTTACTATAATTTTTAAGGTTTGATACCTATTTTGCCTTAATTTTTATTTTAAAAAATAGATTTTTTTTATCAGTCTTGTTCTTGGTCTTGCAACAGTTAGGTGGTCTTGGTCTTGGTTTTGGCAACACTAATAATAATACAATCTCTCACATTGAGAGGAAACAAGGGTTCATTCGTAAAAGATAAAATGGTAGATTTAACTTGAACTGTCAAGCTTATGATATTGGTGGATGGAAATATCAAGAAAAACGAATTTGAAGAAAGAAATTGAAAAAAAACGAATAAAAATTAAATTAATCTTTTTGAACACATTCAATCGGTTATATTAAAGGCACAATAATTTGATAGCTGTAATATTGGTTTGCTCTTAGTAACATATATTTTTTCTATACACGACAGCATTCCAATGAACTCTAAAATCATTGCAATTCTTATTTATTTAAAAATCTCAGTAGTAAATACATGAATGGGCATATGCATTTTTGTATACACGCGTCTACCTAACTAAATCTTGAAAACTTAAATTATGTACTGAGATTTGTTTTTCAAAATATATTTTTTTTAATTTTACGAATTTCATAAAATGATATCCTTATCAAACTTAACAATTTTAAAGTATAGAAATTATGTAATTAGTAGAAAAAAAATTAGGTCTAATGACTTCACCTTTAGCGCATTAATATACACATTAACCATAGATTAGTACTTATATTATAGAAGTTCTGATGAACAGAGTTTTACTTTAATATTATTTTACTTTATCTACATCTTTATTGATTATTTTGCGTAACATCATGGAGAAAAAAGTTCTCTTCTGACTAAGAACTATAAATCTCTTTCTTTTTTTTTCACTACAAATTATTATCTCAGCTTAGGTACTTGTAAAACTGCTCGTATTTCAATGCTTCCTGTGGCAAAAAAAAACATAAATAATAGTGTTAGTACTGAAGAAAACACGAAGATAATCCCTTAGAGAATTTTAGAAAAAAATAAATAAAACTTTACGTGAAGTGTTTGATTCAGAGACTTAGCTGCATTAAGCGGATCAATTAGTCGATCGTGTAGAGTACCCTATATCACAACATTATGACTCGAGGAACCTGGAAAGAACACGAACTGGCAGGATCGTGTAGCTAAAGGATTATCCCGGATAATGTATATCGAAGATAGGGAGTGTCCTGGAACAATATATCTTGGACATCTGTTGGCAACTGCCCACCTCCAGAGATAGCCGCGTCTTCAACCTCTTGTCGTGTAGGTAGTAACGGCATTCGAGGTCCTAGTCTTCCCGATTATCTCGTAAGTGTATGCATACCTGTCGGAGGAGTTGGTGCAGGTTCATGAAGCAATCATTAGTTCAAGTTCAGTTATGTCTTGAAGGAATTAATAGTCCGAATAATAATAACATGGGCTCTCAGATCAAGGCACAAAAAAAACTATATATAAACTGCTAAAAAATGAACAGCGATATTTCTATTTGATTCGTTTTAATTAAAATACTCTATTGTTCAGGTTTGTTAGGGATTCTCATTTTGGTTTGTAAACATAAAAAGTAAACAGCAAGTATCATTTATATTAATAAATTATTATTTTATCTATTTATAACAATGGGGGGGCTCCTCAACCACTTACGGGTCATTTTAGCCCTTACACAGTATTTACATTACATAATTTATCAACTATATCAATCTGACTGCCGAGGCCTATATCAACTCAAAACATTCGTAATTGTTTGTGAGAAGTTGGTATAACGTGATGGTATAAAATGTGATTCTTTATGAAAGAATACTGTAGGACAGTTTATTATGGGTTTACGACAGATGACCAAAATAATCTGACAGGAAGGATCGATTTAAAATTATTTTATTTATTATTAATTTGTCAATTTTCTTTTGTCTTATATAAATGAAGCAATAAGAAATAAGTATACAATAATACATTACAGTGCTTTGATCGGCGGCTATATCAAAGAGCAGGATAAAGCCATCAAATTAAGATGAAAATTCCTCAGGACCAAGGATTAAGGACAAAGGAATTGCTGTTTGAGCAGGATTTACAACTCTTCGGCGCAGGACCTCTCCTGATTAGCAAGGCTCCACGCTCCCCCATGTTTCTTTTATCTGCAACTCATCCCCTTTCGGTAACACCTGCTTTTAAATTCTTGCCATTCATTGAAAAAGAGTCTGAGACCCGTATAACAGAAAGAATTATCCTACTTATTAAAAGTAGTATTTTCATTCCCTATTTCCCTCAATGTAGTATTTTTCTTCACAGTTTACTATTAAAAAAAAAAATGAACCGCAATAAGATATGGAGTCTTTTGAGATCCGTGCTTTGTAGCAGATAGAGGATAGGTTTCTACAATTTATTATACTTTATCACCCATGAACTCAAATTATAAATTAATTTTTTTTTAACGAATAGTATTATAAATTTTAAGTTCTAATATGGAATATGCTACTCCATGCCTTCCATTATCCCCATTTAAATTTTAGTAATTATTTTATATATTATTTATTTTATAAGCTAACCAAAAATAACAATATTACACTTGAAAACATGACACTAAACGTTTATAACTTTGACTCTGAGTGATTCCTGATTTAAAAGAGTTTTCCTACAAGAAAATGGGTAGCTAACTTACACAAATAATTTATAATTTATTCCTTTTCGAAAAAGATGAGTACTTTATTCATTATCATTTTCTTTCAATATTTTGAAATATTAACAATCGATCTTAGGGAGGTAATGCGAACCGAGAAAGGGTTGGATCTGGGCTGGACAACATCCGTGCTGGGCTATGCTGATGATCTGGTGCTATTAAGCGAAGACGTTGAAACTATAAAACTAAATACGACTACGTTAATGAAAGCCGGTAAAGAACTAGGACTCGAAATAAACGTGGATAAAACAAAATATATGGTTAGCTGCAAAAATGGCGATACTACTGGTGATATCGATATAGATGGTAATATGTTTGAACAGGTAGATAAATTTAGGTACCTAGGTTCTACGATAACTAGAAAAAACGAAATTGAAGAAGAGATTAAGGTTAGACTGAAGGCGGGAAATGCTTGTTATTTTTCTGTGACAAAACTACTTAGTTCCCGCCTCTTGTCCCGAAAATTAGAATCTATAAAACAATTATCTTGCCTACAGTTCTTTATGGATGCGAAACTTGGCCGCTTACATTAAGGGATGAGCAGCGTCTTAAGGTTTTTGAAAATAAAGTATTGCGTAGAATATTCGGACCGAAGAAGGATGAGTTAACCGGAGAGTTCAGACGGTTACACAACGCCGAATTGCGTGAGCTGTATCCGGGTAATATAATTGAGGTAGTTTCATCGCGGCGAATCAAATGGGCTTGTAAAGTTGTTGGGCTTAGTAACGAGAGAATTCCTAAAAGGTTAATACTTGCTGTGCCGAATGGTAAGCGTCCGAGGAGTAGACCGAAGCGAAGGTAGGAAGATTGCATTAAAGCCGATCTGAAGGGACTGGGTTTGGACTGCGAACGGTGGAGGGAGGTTTGTAACAAGCGATTGGTGGTGTCGGCATCGAACCTTCGGGTTTGCTAAGCCTTATTATTATTATTATAACAATCGATCTTTAGGTACCTGTTAAACTATTATTATAAGAATCGTTGTTATTTTATTTTATTTTTTCCATAAACATTACAGACTTATACACACCCATGGTACAAGATCACATTCGGGCTCCATAGTTTTTAAAATTTCATGAAAAAATTAACGGACATACCAACAAATATATATGAAACATGACCGCAAACACATATGGCAGAAAACGCCCGACAAAGGCTGAAAAGGAGACAGTTAAGAGATCTCCTGAATTATTATTATTTTATTTTTTTCATTCAACTGGTAAGTCTTGTGACAGTATTATAAAAAGAAAATTAAATTTCTAAGTATAACTACCTGTTTTTTGTGCCGAAAGGATATCAAAACATATCTTAACGCTAAATCATGGAATAAATATTAAAAAAAAAGTTTATCAACAGAACTATATTTTCTTAATTTCTTAATAATCTTAATAATAATGAATAGTAGATGCCGATGGGTACAGGGCTTATTGTTACTGGCTGTGACAGGTGTAGATATAAAAATAAAAGTTGTCTCCTCCCCTGATTATGTGCAAGCCTGCAATATTCTCATAATTTCGGAAAGTTTTTGGTTGATCTTAAATTAATTTTTAGCTATTCAATTATCAGCTTGCTGCTCTTACAGCCATATATATATATATATATATATATATATATATATATATATATATATATATTTGTATTATTCTTATATTTTTCTTACCCTTATTTCCAGATAAACCGGCAGCTACGAGTCCCCTTCTACCTACCTTACCTCCTGGAGCTCCTCCGCGGTTAAAGTTGGACGGTGAGTGTCTTCAATATTAATTTACTATATTTTAAGACTAATAAAAGACGCTTGCTGGTACATCAATAAATAACAAAACCATACATGCCGACTTCCGACTTACAACTAACTATCGACCAACATATAAGTACTCTTTATTCTCACTTTCATTAAAAATTTCATTGACATAACAATAGGATGATAAACGGCATGGCTACAATTGACTTTCCTGACTGAATGACTGAAATGGTGCTGGATGAGAGACCTCCTTTCCTGAATTAAGGAAGTAAACAGAGACCAGGAAGAGGTGCTGTTGGGTGCTATCCTTCCTCATACCAAAAATTTCAAAACCAAATTGAACAATAACAATTTATTTAATTTGTTGATCATATTCACGACAGATGTTAATAATACACTTTTTTGTCAAATTATTAACACTTATCTAAAACTCTGTGAATGGCTATATTTTAGAATAATCTATAACATTTTTATCTACGAAAATTGTTGGAAATGGGACGTTTTCAATATGGAGATTGGTAAACGTTGTTAACTTAATGAAGTTCTAACAATTCGTGGATGGAAATTTGCAAAAAATCGAGAAAAAAATGGCCTGTCAAAAATGTTGGTTCATTTAGCGTTACCTTCTATTCCCAACATGTCAATAATGAGGTTATATATACTCAACGGTCCAATATTCTTGTAGGTCACTATTAAAGTAATATTGAAAGGTAGAAATCAAATCCTTTTTAGTCTCCATTAATAAAATAGTATATTATAAAATTATTCAAATTGTTGTCTCTTCAGGCATACTGCCTAATTTTAAAACGTTTTGTCAATTTTCATCTGAAAAATATATAAAAAAATCTCTCTTACGACTCACTGGTCAGACTGGGCGACTGGACCAAGTGTGCAAGACAGGAGACCGTTATACGAAACTAGGTTTAGACTTTATCATGTATATATTTTTGGCTTGTTATAATACTTTTATTGATTTTATAAATGAACTAGTGTCTACCTGTAGTGAGTGGGGTAGCTCAGTGGTAAGGCACTGATCTTCCAATGCTTAAAGTTAACGTCCCAGGTTTGAATCCCGGCTCATGGCAGAAAAATTATTTATTCTGTTTCATTCGCTGTGGGGTTGCCCTGGAATTAGAAGATCCTCCTGAGGCACACCCAGCCCCTATAATGTGGGTAATCTTAATTTAATAATTAGTTGATGGGGAAAAACTGGCGGTTGAGCGTGATTTCTGTCAAATAACTTGGTTGCACAACCTTTGACTAAGAAACACTAGTTTCCGTAAATAATACTGAACCCAAGATTCTTCATGGGTTGTAGTCGTACAGATTTTTATTTTTTCATTGTCCAGCAGTAAGTCCTCTGAGAGAAAATTGACAAAATGATTTAAGATCAGATAGTATGGCTAAAGATGCCTGAGGATGCGAAACTTTGGATAATTTTATAATAAATTATCGTATTAATGGAGGCTAAAAAGGCATAAGTTCTAATTCTAAGGCCTAAACTTCTATAAGTCTCTTTTCTACCATCTTCAATAAGTATAATTAAAATTAAAAATTAAAACTATTTTTTAAAATTTCATATTTATATTTTTAAATAATATTTCCTAAAAGGAATATTTCAGTTTAGATAGAGGATTGATATGAATGATACAGGGATGTTTCAATTACATTGGCCGTGTGTCAGTGCTAATTGCCCTTTGAAATATAGATAGCGCTGTGTGACGGGGGCCGATGTATCGCAACTGAATAACTGAGCTGAGCAATTGAATAATGGCTCCAATGAGGGGATATTGATTGAATAATAAACCTCAGGGAGCAGCCAGTGGTTAGTGTCGCTCTTAAATATTTACAACCGACGGGAATCGGACCCGGCTAAATAATACACCACAATTGATCCCGTAGAGCGAGCTCGTCCCAAAACCCCGAGTCCCAAGTCTCAAATATTAACTGGAAGACGTTGGGTGAGGATTCTCGGCGTATAATTTCCATTGGCTCCTTCTACTGATTACATGAATTTCCATCCCAGGACGGATTCCTTGCTATCCTGCTAATGTCAAAGGGGAGGACTTTTTAATAGAGCTAGAAATCCCGAAATGTCAGCTGTAATTTCCTCAACACTTAACTTTCAAAGCGTATTTTCTATGCATGGTTTCATGGTAAAGACAGATATGATATTCACTTTCTTTTTGATCTTTCATTTCCTTAACCTAGATTTTGCTAAATATAATACACGAATGTTTAGCAGACAATATTGGAACAATACAGTCGAATTAAAAAATATCGTTTCCACTCTTCCCAAATATTGAAAATTATTGATCCATTTTATAATCAATTAAAGATATGTAACTGATAGATAAGAACCGTAAAAAATAAATATGATTTTCATAAGAAATACTAAAATGTAAATATGGTAGGTAAAATTACACATCGCTAATTTTAGTACAAATGGTGGTATGTAACAATTTTCTATATTAGTGACATTTTGTAATATATAACTGCTATAAGTAGCCTGCTAAAGAAGAAAATATCAGATGGATATCAAATATGAAATCTCACTAATAAATCATAAAGAAATAATCGGTTTTTATGCTCTACTTCAAAAAAACTTTTTTCATTCTGGTTGGGGGTATCGATACTTTTGTTCGACTAGTAGTGTGGTATCGAATCTTAGTTGATATCGGAAACTTGTAATAATCCCATTTCAAAAAAAAAATAAAAATAGTCTTAATAAATAAATGGAGTACTCTAATGTATTGATTCTTTAGAACAAATATTTTGATTTATACTTGGTCAAAATACAATCAAATAAATAAATAAATATATTCATCTTGAGAATAAAAGTTTCTATCATATACGCTAAAATAAATTTCTAAATTAGTAAAAAAAAAAATTATATTTGATAAACTGTATCTAAAACATTTAAAACATGCATCTATTAAATCAACTATTAGCAAATTTACTCTAATTACCTTAAAATTATATTAAGATATATAGTATCTTCGTATTTACATAGATATTTGACACAGAATGAAAAATTAATTAAAATAATACTTTTTTTCTTGAGCTTCAGGTGATCTAATAAGGAAAAAAAAATTGATTTTTAATGCAAATCCGAATCCAAGAAATAAAAAAAATCACATGATATTTGTAAATAGTCTTTCTTTTTTAGCATTTTTAAAGATTTGAAGAAAGTATATTTCTAATACTTTGTATTATTTAGTGTATAGATCGTCCGAACCACTATTTATCCTAAAATGTATTCGATGAAATTCTGTGAGAATATTTTTAAAAATACACAAAATCTTGAAATGTTTGTAGAAGTGTATACCTACATATTAAATTTTAAAAAATTATAATATTAACTAAAAACATTATATTGATATTTCTCCAGGGATTTATTACTATTATTTTGACAATCACTACAAAATAATTAAACAAGTAACTGACGAAACACTTAATAAAGCTCAATTTAATTATAAAGATTTAGAATTGCAGGTTATATGAGCTTACGATCAACGTAATACGACAATTAATTCCTTAATATAATACTGGCGCCCAATCGAAAATAAATATTTGGTCGAGACGACTTCCTGGAGAAAGGTAATTCGCTAAAACGAGCAAGGTTGGGACCCGAGGCAGCTCAATCTAATGCACTTGTTGCGTAATCTTATCTCCAGCCCTGGAGTTCCAATCCATGTTTCTCTGTTTGTGCATACATAAATATAAACATGTAAAAGTGTAATTTTCTTATGCATAACTTGAATATATTTTTCCTTAATGACGAAGTTCACATTATATAAACATGATGTTTTATATAGACTTAAATTGAATTTTACGCATGATAATTGAATACGATCGTTTAATTTGAATGGGAGAAATAAAAATTTAATTATTCTTGGAATCGTGTAAAAAAACTGAAACTTATACATGTGTATCAGATTCCAAAATATCAGATATTTTCAGGGAATACATCGTGGTCAGAATTATGCTTTAACAGCCTGATTTATCTCCTTAGAGATAATACTTCCAGTTCTGAAATAACCTTTTTTTTTTGTACCATTGTGTACAATATATATTTCTGAAATTAAATTTTTTTTTTTGTGCTTAAAAATCTTTTAATCTCTTTTTATGAAGTTTCAGAATAACTGTAGTGAATTTTTATTTAAAAAGTCAATTGGATAGAAGTTTTAAAATAACTTGATTAAACAGTTATCTTAATGAAAAATTATAAGTTTTAACTTTTTAAAAATACAAGTTAACTCATATTTTCGACTTCTGATTTAAAATAAAACTAACTTATAACTCAGCAAATATAACATAACATGTTTACAATTAAATTCTTAAAATTTCCATCGGCTTTCAATGTCTTTTAGAGAGAAAGATAGGGAAAATAAGTTTTATGCAATAAACTTTTCTAAAAATAAGATGGCCTTATTACACGCTTCACGAAACGGAATGACATAAACATAAGAACTCACCGTTTTATAGAAAATTGCATAACCAAAATAATCTTTTATGTAATATATTGTTCTATAGTACGAAATATAAGAATATCTTTTCTCTTAAATATTTAAACAAAAGATACTTTTTATAATTTAATATAATAATATAAATACAATATTAAATTATAATTGAATTTATTTTACTTTATGATGAAAGGACAATAGGGATTTGATGACGTTTGATAATCTCTGGAGGTCGTTTTGAACAGTCAAAGTTCTCGATCAAAGCATCATCGGTGATATTTTAATTAAGTAGTTTGTTTTTCAACCACTAGGGGAGATCACTATAGACTTCATAGACCTTTTTACATGGTTTAGTTTCACAAAAAAATTTGGAATTGTAATTCACGTATTTTTTCTGTTAATCGGGTTTAATAGTTAAAGACTAAATTACTATGTCTATTAATTCAACTCCTTAAATGGAGCATCCTCATAGATAAATGAAAATAAAGGAAAAAGATGGTCCGGAGTTGCGGTCATAAATGGGCTAAATAGTGGTAAAACTATTTAATTGAAAGCCGACGTTTCGACCAGACTTTGCAGGTCTTCATCAGGGTGGTGTGTTCAGCTAGTAGTTTCACTTAGAACTGAGTTGTTCTAAATTATGTTCTAAGTGAAACTACTAGCTGAACACACCACCCTGATGAAGACCTGCAAAGTCTGGTCGAAACGTCGGCTTTCAATTAAATAGTTTTACCACTATTTAGCCTATTTATGACCGCAACCCCGGACCATCTCCTTCCTTTATAATGTCAACTATTAAATATTCAATAAATGAAAATAATTAATGAGGTGATAGTAAACCTAGAAAGCAACAAAAAAATATATATATGTATATATAAACAATGTAATATTATACAGTGATTGTCACTTCAATCAATTTAAATACTTTTTATGGCCTCTGATATTTTTAATTTAAAAAGAATATAATGAAATTCTGAGTCACACTGACAATAACACAATAAAAAACGTACGAAATACAAAGCATATTTCGAAGAGTAGTAGGTTTCCTGATCTGAAGGATATTTGATGATAAATTTCCAAGATGTTGGATCAATTTGATCCTACTACTAAGCAAAATCCTTTTACATGATCAAGTTTCTCAATAATTTTTCAAGTCACAGTGAGTTCATTCAAGAAACTTTTTGTCAAAACCGTGTAAAAAGATATAAAAATTTCCTTGGGCGAAGCAAATTTAATGCTAGATTCCTAGACGTACTCGTTACAATACTTATGTTCTTTTTGTAGTAATTATTATTTTTTTCTATTTGATTATAGTATTTAATATTATTATATTTCAGGTGGAGGGGGCGCAGCAGCAAACACACTGAGAGAACTGTACGCTCTCGCAGCGACTCAACAACCACTCGCTAGTTTGGTCACTCACCAGCAGCGATTGCTGGAACTCTCCAGGTTTAGGCACTACGACCTCCTCTCTCACCAGCAAGGTGCTGTCACCAAGCTCTTAGGTGAGTTTTCTATAATCTTTCTTAATTATAATAATCATATATATTGTCTGATTACATTAATACAATATAATAAGTACATCATGAGAAGGAGTTGATCGGGGGTGCGGTTAAATAAATGTTAAATTAAACAAATTGTATTACTTAATTTTATACATTCTAAATTTCTCTTCTTAAAATTATTTTTTTTCTTATAGAATTATTTATACTTAATAATCAATTTTATCCTATTGATCTTTCAATTTCTTTACTTCTTGACCATTAGTCCCGTTATCTATTTACCTACAGTTATCAAATGTAACCTCCACTAGCTTGTTATCCACTGATATCTTATTATTATATTATCTTATTTTTATTTTAGCTTTACTATATCAATACTTATTCTATTTTCAATCTATTTATTCGTTAACATTCATTTTCTTTATATGTTAACCTACATTTATCAAATGTAATCTTTATTAGTTTGTTATACACTCATTCCTTATCTTTTATCGCAATCTGTTTACTTTTAACTTACATACCATATTCTCCTTTATTTTCTATTTTTATCCATACTCATTTTCCAATTTTTTTTTATCTTCTACATACATATAATACTTGATATTTTAACTACATTGTCACCCACTATATCTCTGATATCATCTTTTTATTTCTGTATCATACAACTTCTTCTTATTTTATATCTACTTACATTCATTTATTTCATCACCTGCAAAGTGTGTCAAAACGTCGGTAAAAATTTAATAATACTATTTGTTTAATTTAGTATTTATTTGAACGCACCCTCCGATCAACTCCTTCTCATATTATATCAACGGTCAACCATCTCGACATCGTAATAAATATATAATTTAATGAAAAAAATAGAATAACAACGAATAATAATGAACGAAATAAATTCTTCTGGTCTTTAGATTATTTTCCTAAAAAACTCGTGAATCTGACAAATTCTTAATTATGGCACTGTTAACACCCTGGACGTGAAATTTAAGTATTTGAAAGAAATAAAGCTCTGTATTAATAATAGTGGCAGGTTCTTTGTTGTTGCAGTCGTATTTTGACTAAAGTAGAAATGTTAAGATACAGATTTGTTGAGATCGGCCTAAAATAATTATTAAGTGAGGGAGATGAGAATCAAAAACACTATTATTCGAATAAAACAGTCTTTGATGGAACCTTCTCTATCAAGGACTTAATTATCTTTATTATCTGTGCTACATCTTATCATTATTCTAGTCTGTAATAATTTTTCCTGCTTTAAATTTAAATAATAAAATTGAATTAGTTATACGAAATATTTATTACTTATACGAAATATTTCTTATTTCAAGTATGAACTTGTGATGGAATATAATATATAATATGGAATATCCTACAATACAGTATAATATGCCGCTTGTTATATTGTATTTTATTGTACTTTTTAAGGCATATTTCAATGGTTTTTGTTTTAAATAATAATCTGGTATAATACCGTGGTAGTATGCGCTCGGCCTTCTGTATATTCAAGATTATTAATATCGATTATTTCAGGACTTGGTTATCTTAATCGAGATAATGTTTACACTGATCCGACGATTCCTGGCCATGGTAGTGTACACCTCTCGCGTGTTCCATTGTTCCCACAATCAATTATCATAATCGTTTCCTTGGCGACCGGACAACACAAGTAATGGCGATCATCCCCTCCTCCAACAACTCGAAACTCGAACGATGAATATTTCAGGAAAATAAAAAGCGTAAACGAAGCGAGCCTTCATTAGAGGATCAGGGATCGCGGGGCTAATTTGAATAGTGAATAACACTCGCCCATCAACATCGACTTATCCTATCGATAATTCACATCGAGGTTGGCCCAATCGGAAAAATTATCTAATTGCTACCCTAAGATGCATAGCTGGCATTACTTTTTCAAATCCTCCCTCCTTTAGGAAGCGATCGCTCTACACAATTGAACAGGTTGAATAATAAAAATCACTTATCCACTCCCGGTAACGAATTACATCATTACCTAACGATTTTATATCGATATCTTCAGGTATAAACAATCAAAAAAACTCGTAGAAAATGACTGACGAACACTAGTGAGAATTTAAAATTTTATAACCTCAATTAATAGTTAAATTCTCTCTATATTGTAACGTTTAATAATGGCCGCACATTATGTAAGGAGTAAGAATTATTCATATACTTCATTAATAAGTCCCTGAGAAAAAAATGAAGTGAGACAGGAAAGTATCAATGAAGAAAATGTAGGTGAAAAAAAATTATAATATATAATCTACAAAAAAAAATCTACTGTTTCTATTTGTTCCATTGTATTTGTATTGCATTTTATTTTTACTACTTATATTTTTGAATTTTTCGTATTACTTTTGTTGTTTGTTTTCACAACCTTGCTTAATAGTCAAATAAAATTACAGAAATTTGGTGTGTCCACTTATACAACTTTTCTAATGAGTTTAGACAAACTTATGCAATACATCCATAAAAAAATGAATTGGAGTAAAATCCCTGAAAACCAGTCAGAGAAATGACAAGAACACGATTTATTCAATGAATTAAAGGAATGTAAAAGGACACGTGAACCATAATTTAAATCAGCGGATAAAATTCTGTGTACTATAACTTTTCTAAATTTGTTCCGATAAAAAAGTTTTTTTTTTACTTTTAAATTTATAATCTTTTAAGTGGCTCTGAAACGTAAAGATCCGTTGAAATTCACACATCGGAAATTTGACCAGATCGCAATACTTTCCTTACTTTGTAACGATTCTGTATTCCGATGTATTTTTTTTTATTTTGTAGATAATTTAATTACTTCTCAAAAAATTCTATATACATTTTATGATAGAATGTATACTTTGTGAGTAGGCTCCAGAAAATATTTGTTAAATTTATAATTTTTTTCCCTGAATATAAAAAAATTAAAACGACTTTAAGTAGAATATTTTAGGAAAGTTTCATCAAAATGTTTTCTCATTTTGCGTTGTTATTGTTATTATTGAGTAGGGAGCTTCCAATTTGTTTTACAGGCATCGGGAGTCAAAACCCTACAAAACAAAAAGAAAATTAACAAAACGGGCTATTAGTTCCCGAGATAATCTTGGTAAAGACAGACCAATGGCTGGAAATGTGTTTTTTGGACTCAAATGTAAAGATTTGTAGCGGTAGGAATCGAACACCAGCAAAATACATTTTTCCACCAATTTAAGTTCATTGAACCCCAATAAATTGTAACAAGGAGAATGTATTTACATTACATCTCATAACATATTGTGTTGCATTTAGCCAATGATTGTATTGTTATATTATCTCACACGTTGCCGAGTATGCTGTGTTTATTGTATACAAATGTATCTAGGCAGGATTACAACTCACTACTTATAGGAGAGAATGTATTGTTTGGTGCGGTCACTTCCAGATGCCGTGCTTTCTAAATCTCTTTCACGATCTATCATCACGATCCGCACAGATAGCGCGCGAGGAAATCTTGTTAGATAATCTGATCCTCTCTTGTGATCCTCCGAGAGCCGCGGGGAAGGCAGCTGCTATACATGGCACCGGAGGTGTCCCGACCCATTAACTATCTTTTCGCACGACATCTGTTTCGGGCGTAGTAAAAAAAAAAATAACTCGTGCGACAGGTTAAGATTAGGCTACATCACGATAAACACGAAGATGAACGACGAGATGCATGCATGCATAAATGCAGCCATGTCAAAATTAAGGCTTCATTAAGACGAAGAAGTTTCTTTTTTGTCTTGCCGAAACAATGGCCCGCTCCGACAGCGTCAGTAGTATTTTAACGGTGGCACAGGTGCAGCGGCCCTTCCGAACATCTTTTTTGTTTCATTGTGTGTGTTGGTACACCTGAGTTCCGGTCCATGGGTGGCCATCCGCCTTCGAGGACCTTTATATCTTTCGTTAATGGAGTGAAGATACCTTCCTCTGGGGTTGGGTAAAAAATAATAAGAGCAAACCTGAACACCTGTTCTTTGAATATTAATATTTTAAACATACATAATCTTATTTTAAAATCAGTTTAGTGAGCCATACATGGATGTTCTGACAATTGTTACAAGTTTTAAAAGTTCCCTATATGGGGATATAGGCATACATTATCCTTTCTCTTAATCCACTTCAACTTTTTGTAAAAAAGGAATAATTTTATGTAACTCAATAAAAAAGGACTCATTTTAGTCAATTTTATTGCAGAGATGCCTCTATATAACAATAATGTTATTGTAAAATGAACCATAGGTTTTTTTGTTTGTTTCGATGTCTAGGCGCAAAACATTCAGGTTATCAGCGCCCGATCAACTAAATAACACTACTTTTATATTGTTTGGATGCACAAAAAATAAAAAAGATAAAAAATAAATAAAGGGATTGATAGAATAAAATAAATAAATAAAAATAACAATAGTCACTTATAGATAATAAGATAGAATAGATAAACAAATAAACTTTTAAAAAATGGCGATAAAGTCAAAAAATGAATTGAAATTAATATAAACAGGCTGATAGGAATACTTCTTCATTAAGCGTTCCTTTTTAACGAAACTTTCAAGTAGAATCATAGGAACGAGAATCCATCCTTAGCCTCATACAAAAGAAACCCCTAACACTTGATGTTGTGTAAAGTAAAATAAATATATATATACATATAAATAAGACTTAAAATAAACTAAACAAATTAAAATATGTCATACAACAATAAATATATTAAAAAACAGAAAAGTATTTATTTTGCTCAAATAATTGAAGTTCACAAAAAAAGAAGAATAAAAATAATTGAAATTGTAGTTTTGTACAGAATACTTAGTTATTTGGACTCGGGGCTTAAAACATTTATTTTCATTAAAAACACGGGTTTGAATTTTCGCAATTGTAATTCTTTCCTATTGCATAGATTTATTATATGTAAGTATTTATAAACAAAATAAATAAATGGATTAAGTGAACATAAACGTGGAAAATCAATAATACAATATATCATCTATAGGTGTGTAAAAGACAATGTTTGGACTTGCAATTAGTGATTCACACAGGTAGACATTTACCCCTTTGGTTTACATAAACGAGTTTATCATTTAAGCAATCGAACTTAGAAAAATAAAATAATATATATATTTCAGTATATACACACACACACACACACACATATATATATATATATATATATATATATATATATATATATATATATAAGGCTAAAAATAAATTAAGCAAATCAAGATGTGTCATAAAATAATGAATATATATAAACCAGAAAAATATTTGTTTTTTATATATAAAATGCGTATACGGTAGATACATATAGATTTATTCCGAAACGATTCATAGATAAGTAAGTTCACATGGATACTGTGGTATGAAAGGAATCAAGATGGGAGAGGCGAAGTTCGCCGAAGAAGGCCTGCCCCGGAGCAAACTCAAACAGAACCAAGAGATCACTATCGATGGCTAGCGGTATATCGATATGTAAATCTCTTCATAAATCGATTCCCTGCGCTAACCGTATCAGCATAATTGGAGAAAGTGTGTCCAACACTGGTAGCACGCAGGGCTTTCCATACATTGATGTATCGCATTCAGAATAACTTGCTTCCGATAGTCATCTTTGAGAACTTCTTGTCCATCTAGGTTCTTAAAGGCTGTCGAAAATATATTGTTTCTAAAAACTGAAATAGTTATTTAGAGTATTTGTGAATATCTTATCTTTTAGTATATATATTGCGTAACTAGTATTAGTTTGGAAGTAAGATTCAAAATTCAAAATTTCGTATATTTAAAAGTACAGGAAGAAAACTTCAAAGAACCTGATCATTATTATTTTTCGTTCGAACGTTTCGACCCAAACTTGAAGATTATTGTCAGATTTAAAATTAAATCAGAGATATACGAGGTATAGTTAGTATGCATGAGGTATCGAGATATATAATTATCAGATGTGAGGTGTAGACCGAAACGTATATGGAAAGAATTTTGATTTGAGAAAGGTTTTACCCTCTAGAACTATTGATATAAATCAATATAGTATCAAAAATCCTAGAGCATATAACTATCCTTTGAAATCCATCAAAATCCAAGACTATAAATTCAAAATTTTCTCTTGTCGGTCAACACCTAGTACGTCAACATCTCTTATCTCATGTATTCTTCTCCATAGGCATATATATAAAATATACAGATAAAAGTTAGTTACAAACAAATAAAAACATAAATAATACAAGTACAATATATTTAAGATAAATTAAGTGATAGGAACAAAATGCAGAAAGGAGAGGTGTCTATCCACAAAATTTGATTAATTAAAATTTAAAAAAAAAAGTTCAAAAAGTAGGTCTTAAATATAATATATTTCTGAGATTTCATTCTATCTTCTTTCTAGCTTTGTGGATAAAAGTGCTATTTATTTTTTTATTTGATATTTATTTCAGCATATATTGAAATCTTACAAATTAGACCTAGAAAAAATTGTTAACTTTATGTTTTCCTAATTATTTTTATTTACTTTTGTCTTTATACTGTGCACATATCTATGTATCTTTTCTCTCTTATTAATTTAAAAAATAATTGAAAATTAATTTCTGCTTTGAAATTTTAAGTTTGGTCGAAACATAATGACTGGGTCTTGATATAATATAAATCATAGTCGGTCAACTATTTTCTATAAACAATTTAAACCTTTTATTTTAGGAATTTTTTTAAAGATAAAAATATGATTTTAATATAGATTATTACTGAACCAATACTAACAACTAGTGTTGCCCAAATGCGAGACCGAGACGAGTCTTGGTCTTGCGCAAGAGTTTCGCAACTGTCTTGCAGTTACTTATCAGCTTATTACTGTAGAGTCACTACTGTAAATTTTAGATAGAAAAAACCTAACTAAGCCCGAATGAAAAATTAGAGGAGTTAAATGCAAAATTATATTGGTTTTACCGATTATTAACATATAGCAACTAGGATTGTCAAGTATTAGTAACTTAGTATTAGTAAATTTTATTCAAAAAATCGATTTTTTTCTACCATTTCTGGTCTTGGTCTTGCAACAGTGGCGACCTTGGTCTTGGTCTTGCAAAGTGCACTACTAACAATATTCTAAATTTCACTAGAAAAATGAATATTTAAATGATGCCTTCGATTTTTTTTATTTGATTTTTTTTTTAAATAAACATAAGTGTGTTTTGGATGTTTACATCTAGTTATAAGGTAATAAACCTAGTAACAAAAATCAAAAGTTTATTATATCGGTTACTAAAACTTTCCCTTAAAATCGGTTTCGTTAAACTTAGATTTAGAAAAGGCCTTGGACGAACTTTGGTTCCCACTTACTCGAATGTAAGCCGAGAAGGAGCCGACGATAAAAACTCAAACAAAACGAACCGGCCGAGCTTTGTTCCTTTTCGACAAGTTCGTAAAACGTAGACGACTCAATTTGAATAACTGGTTCCTGAAAGGTTTTGCCTGTCATATTCATTAAGTTTATTGCTCATTAATTGGATTAGGTCTCTTAGGTTCACCCTTAGCCTACTAAATCTCGGCTAATGCCTCATAAATGGACTGTTTTAATTTCCCATTTACGATGATAAAAATCGAGAATTTTCCTTCTCATTTACAGACATTTTACATTTGGTAGATGCCTCGGAACGGTTTAAAAAATATAATTTACAAAAATAAATGGCGCTTATCGAAAGGAAATACTCTGTCAGGTGATAATTCGTGCATTTTTAGTAGGATATTCTCATCCTTGTCCAAAATTGAAACAAAATATACATATTCAAAATTTATTTATATTATATTAAATACTTGCCTAAAAGGTTATCATCATTATCGTAAATAATTTTGAATCAGAACACTGTAGGTGGCCATTTAATAATTTGGTGGTTTTTATTGCTCATGTTATTTTAATCTTTTATTACGATTTTATTTATTGGCTTGAGTGTTTCGACCATCAGTAGTCATTTACAATAATGTCTCTAAACTCCCTTGCAATTCTTTTTAATTTTATTGTTTATGTCGCTAATTTTTAAAAATTTAATAAGTCGTTAATAAGTTGGCGGTTTTTCTTCTTCGTCAGATATGCATGGCTATATATATATATATATATATATATATATATATATATATATATATATATATATATATATATATAAATATATATATATGTTAAACGAATTTGTTTTAACCAGATTAAAAATTGAAAAAATTTCTCTGTTGTGCAGATTCCAAATTTCGAAATTTGGGCAGGGACTCCCTAACTATTATTAATTTCCTAGCACAACTTGAGCGACAAATTTCTCTATGCATTCAAAGGTATTTCCTTTTTTCTTTACCTGTATCAAAGAAATCGTCTTATGGATGTTTATTTCAAGCTCTGGTTTTTTACTGGCTTTCGTCAATGTGGTTTTATTTAATTTTATATTTATTCTTAGTTTAAGTTTCCATGTCTTATCTTATCAGTGCCATTTTATCAGGATACCCGATTTAAGATATATTTCCACCAAGACTTATAACTGTTTTTATTATTATTTTATTTTTTTATTGAAAAATGTTATAATAATGTGCCTCAATCATTATGCATATCAGAGAGTGGAGGTTTGGTAAGGGCTTTACAGTCACAGACTCAATGAATTAAGTACAGAAATGTGGCCGAAACATCAAAATACTGTGCTAAATTTAATAAGACAGTCAAAAGGGTTCATCTTGTTTTATATCTGAAAGAATTTCAAACATCTCGTAAAAATAACTTTATTGAATGTTTCGGTCATACATTCCGACTAGATTTTCTAACTTTTTTGGTGTAGTTTACTCAATCAGAATATATTAACCTGTCGTTCAAAGAAACCAGGCTTTGTTTTGTAAGCTTTCTAATAACTTTTTATTTTCTCGAATCATTAAAAAGTCCAGCATATAGACTTGAAACGCTTCCCTGGCCAGGATATTTCCTCTTCGACGGGAGTTCGGGAGGTTCCACGCCGACAAAGAACATGGACATACGCAGATGTAAATCGGCATGTGATGCGGTCCGGTGGGGTAGATGACAGTGTTGCGGTGACCGTATGTCATCTGTCTCCATCATTACCTCAGCCACATCTGTCGTGTGTCTAGTCCTTCCGTCTGTCCTCGATGTCCTCGCAACTTTTCTCTCCTTTTCCTCTAGATGACCAACAAATATATATTTATGAGATATGAAAACAAATTATAAAAAAATATAATTGTATATATATATATATATTATATTGGTTTATTTCAAATACACACCATATTTCAAATCACACCATACACACAGAAATGAACCTACCATAAGTAAAATCATACATACACAACATTTCATTCTTCTACTCTAAATCATCCAAACCCACCCATTCTGTCTCTTCCTCCTTGTGAGCCTCAAAGACTAGCAAGGCAGTGACCTAGACATCTCCTGCTGACAATATAAACGAGGATCAAGAATTAAAGAGGACAGAAGTAATGCAACACGCTTGAAGCGTTACAACGCAGTGCCAAATTTAATGTAAATTAAAAAAAATAAATAAAAATATATTTAAATTTATATTATAGAAGAAAAAAATAATGAAAGATTTGAGAGAAAAATCCTTCGCGCGATCAGTGGAGCGATCTGGGACCAGAGTGCTAACGAATGGAAGATCAATTAAGAACTGTTCAACTGCTGAAGCTGGTCAATCAATATCTCATGATATGAAGGCGGGGAGGTTACGATGGATGAGTCATATAGTTCTTAGCAATCCTTCAGGAAGCTTCTACATAACATTAAATGTTGATTAAATAGTTGGCCATAGACCACGCAAATGCCAAAATTCAGATTTATAGATCAAATCAACCAAAATGCAACAGAGCTGCATGCAGATAACTGCAAAAATAAAGTCTAAGATTTGCAGAGATTTAAAAAACTGCCTAATGCGAGCTAAATATCTACAAAGCTGTTATAGAAATTTCGTTTTTTTCCAATTACTGCCAGATGTGTCCTATTAATGTGACTATTAATCTCGAGATCACTTATCCAACGCCTTTTTAGTCTCCTGCTCATGTTCTGAGGTATGTCAGCTGTGGCCATGTCTCTTATAAGTCTGTTATTATGTTCATTTAAATTTGTATAAAATCGTTGATAAAGGGTCGTTATATGTTGTTCAAATATTGAAAAGTGAAAATCAGTATGTAGAGTTTTGTTAGTCACGTACCAACTTACTTATCGACTTTGTTAAAAACAGAAATATAATTCTGTACCATAAATGAAAATAAAAGAAAAAAAAAATGAAATAAAAGTTTTAGTAACCTTGTGATTAAGTAATTTAAAGTAAGTAATTTACTAAATTTTATGTTTGGTAAATAATTTTTAAAATTTCACAATCTATTCAAAGAACTTTCGACGTGGATTTGAGCGTTGGTAAAATCATTTTGGAAAACGATTTTTTTTTTTTCATATGACAATATTACTAAGCATTAGCGGATCCAGGATTTAATTTTAATTAGGCTTCAGCCCGAAATTTTTTTTTTCATAAAAATAACAATAATTACTTTAGAAAAAAAGAAAGAAACTAATATATGAAATAGTATTTAAGTGATTCCTAAAGTCCTTTTAAATGTAATTACACGAACAATAATACTTTTAGACATAATTTTTTTCCATAAAACATGGTTATATTTTACCATTTTGGGGGAGGAGGCTCCAGTCCCTAAGCCTCCTCCCCCACCAGTAGGTCCGCGCGTGTTACAAAGAAATGTACCTAGCAATATTTCTACTTATCACATCACAATTTCTCTCCACTTAATGATAATTATTTAACGTGATCAATAATTAATAAATTATTTATAGACAGATCAACGACCAAGTTACGTGAGAGCTGGCAGTACTGCATGACCTTCTGTGCTCGGTCGTAGAAATAATTAACGATCAAATCCATGACTTGTTAACTATCTTGTGAATTAATTAACGAAGTAATGTGAGCATGCTTAGCAATAGCACATTTTTTTTCTTCACTATATCGATCCCTTCTCTTTTAATTATAGGCTTGATCCGTTGATCGTTCGTCCTACACCTCACACTATGGAAACACACAACTGTTCTCATCAATAATTTTATTTCGTTTGTGGTTTTAAAATTTAAAAATTTAAATTGCTAGGGCTTAAGAAGAGTCGTTGCGAGCGTTTACTCGTACAGGTGTTAAAAAAAAAGTTTAGTATTTTTTACAGACTACCCTCCAATATTCTATAATAATTCTATAAAGTACCATCGTGAGGCCCATTTGGACATACGGCATTGAGCTGTAAGGATCACAAAATAATCAAATTCTTTCCGTCTCCAATCCCTACAATCCAAAACTCTCCATAGAATTCTTAATTATTATATTATTAGTTAATTAGTAGAAATTAACGATATTTTTTAGAACCCATTCGTATTCCAAAAGACGTAATATATAAAAATTTAAAAACTTTTATTTGATTACATCATCTTATTTATTTTGTAACATTTATGCCTTTTTGGCCATTTTCAAACATTTCTGCTTTACCTATTTCATGCTACCTGTCTAAAAATAATTTATAATTTTTTTTTAAGTAGTCGTTATCTGGACAAGAAGAATATTTCTTTTTGTCAGTTTGGAATTTCAAACAGGTAACAACGTTTTTTACTTTATACATTTTCCATAATTAAACTTTTAATTGAATAACATTAGACTAATAAAAGTAATATTCATTTACTAAAATTTACTGCCATAATAATTAAAAAAAATATTATACCACAAATAAGATTATGCATAAATACTTCAATATTCCCTTTGTTACAGATTTGGCCCAAATATTTCTCTTTTAATTCCAAACTCGTTAGTTACCATAACCCTCTGGTTCATAATCATTCATCGAAAACAATTCCAGGCTACCCTCCGAGGCGGCCAAAGGAAAAAGAAGCTACCCATGGTTAGCTATTAATTTAAAAAATAAATTTAATTATATTTATGTTATAAATTTCTATAAATTAATTTTTAAAAAGCTACAACTGCTAATTCGATTTTCATGGATTGTATATAAATGCCCATATTAATTTCATCAAATTCTATCTACTACTTTCGCATGAGCATGCCTAAATAGATTTTCTTACTCTCGCCTAAATTTCATATAATTTCAGTCGTAAAATTTGATAAAAATAGAATATTAGCAAAGAAATGATGCTCAAGCAGTTTTATTGTTGTTAAATTATGCTTGATTTACCGTACGTTTTATACTTTTCAGAATTAGCAGGATTTAAAATCAATGATTATTTTATTCCATAAAATCATGTTATAATTATTATATTTGATTTTTAATTTGAAAACCGTTCCTGATTTATAAATAAAAGTTTAAATCGATCTTTGACTTTTATTTATTCCATTAAATAATGACCACTCAGCCAGTGATACGGTATTACACAAATAATAATGATTAAATTGTGATAACAAAATAAAAATCACCTTTTACATACAAATTAATATGTATTTATACATTTATAATATATCAATTTTTATTTTATTTTTTTATTTATTCCTGGTATTTACAATTGTATTAAAATAAAATAAATCTAGTAAACGCGCAATCAGGAATACAATAACATGAAAACGCTTGTTGAGAAACCACCCACTATTAGCTTCTTCTCAGATGCCTTGGAGGGTTATCAGGGAACGAAGAGAAAGTATGGTTTGAAATGAGAGGGTTGGGATGGTTCTGAAGTTTGTTATGGAAGAATAGGTTCCTGCGTTAGGCCAAATTGGACCATTAAGATGGTTTTATTAACCATTAAGATGGTTTGATCAGAAAAATTTTCGATTTCAAACCTTGGAAGTTAGATATTGGTACAAAATGTTCGAATAGAAATAGCAATTTTATAGAATTTCATCTTGTACTTTAAAATAAATGCTTTCACTTTACGGATGTGCAAATGTATTTTCATTGATACATATATATTTCAGAAATATATGAAAACTTTTTATTTACGATTTAGTTTCTATAAGCATAACTGGATATACTCTTTTAAGTTCTTCTTTGGTATGTTTTGAACTATTTATAAAAAAATACATTAGGAAATTTTCTGAACATAGGTATGAATTAATAAGATAATTAGAATTATGTTTTCCTTTTAGGCATTGCTTTGCGTTATGCCAGTCGCTTTCTCGTATTAACGTAATACACAGCTCTGCAAATACCCGCCAAAGTTACACAACGGTAATTACAACGCATTGCTTCGCTGAGTCTTATGCAAATTTTGCAAAGTTAGGTTTGCTCAACTTAGGTTAGATTACAGGTCTAATTTGTTAATTTTAAGCGGATAAATAAAATGTATTACTGTTGAAATTAAATTTATTATTTTATTGTGGAAAATAAATAAATAGTGACAGTCATTTAAATGATGAATGGAAATAATTATTTAATTATGAGTGGCCACTTTATAGAGGCTGAGCGTGTTCCAAGAAGGTCTCACGACCTCAAAGTCGATGCATGGTCGATGTGTAACAGAATACATAATTATCTGTATATGACCTGATTTAATTCAGATACCTGAAGCATAGGAGCACAATGCCTTATTCACATTCCATAATATACGGATTCATTCTTATGAAAAAAAAAAACTGAATATCTATTATTATTTTGACGACTTCACAATCTTTATCTATGTTTTACTTCTACCTCTCATGTGGTAGGTTATCGTTTTGTGTTAGGGTTTAAAATTTATTGAAAGTACTTAAACTTTAGTTTAAAATAAAACTAAATTGTTTTCAATAATTATTCATAATATTATTTTTTTCCATATTTGATTATATTTTGGAGTTATATAATAAATATACCGGTTTTCCATCCTTTATTTACGAAAATTCTCGGAATTGGGGCGTTTTCAATCTGGAGATCGGCAAAATTTGTTTATTTATTTGAGTACTAAAAACTTGTAAATACACATTTTCTTTCCACTTGGATCTAAGATAATTTGATCACAAGATAGAGAAAAAAGAGAGCCTACAAAAATATTCGGTCGTTTCGCCTATATATCTTCATAATTTTAACATGTTGAGTTAGGCTTAGGTTACGTCAAACGGTCCAATATTTTTGAAGGCCACCCTTTTTCTCGATTTGCTCAAATTATCAAATTATCAAATTAATTAATAAAGCGTGCTCAAATTATCTTTCAATTCAAGTGGAAAGCAAATGGTTATTTACGAATTTTTACTGCCTAATTAAATGGACAATGTTTGCCGATCTCCAGATTGAAAACGCCCCAATTCTGAGAATTTTCGTAATAAAATTCTTTCGTCGTAGGTTACGACGAAATTACTTTATTTACGAAGTTTTAGTTTTATCATAGATGTCCATGATTTGATAAAAAGTCGTATGTACCCCGGACTATGCATATATATAATACAACAGGTGTTCCCTATTTTTTTAAAGTATTACGAACATGTGTTTATTCATTAAATGGTCTGATGATTTTGATTTTTAATATTCTTCTCCTCGTTACATAACGTGTTCTGTAACGTTGTCAATAGTTTTTAATGATCTGTGATGGATTTATCTCGAGACATACATGTGTATGCATATGCTTATGTCATTAATACTTTCACTAAAGATCGTTGTTGAACTTTTAGTAGTGTAGGAGTCGTACTCAGTCACTTGTAAAAGGATTTATTAAAAAAAAAATAAACATTTTAAAAATTATATACATAAACTATTAATTATTAATTAATAGTTGAATTGACTATTGTTCATATAATAGAAAGTTCGAACGTATTCAAATCGAATAATTTTAACTAAGGATGATATTTTCGGAAGCACAATAAGAAATTCTTAAAATCTAAGAAAAAATCTATGATTACCTAATTCCCTTATATTCCAAGTTAATATTTTTTACAAGATACACACTCACACACACAGAACAAAACAAAAAAAAAAAAAGAAATCGCTCGTTTATCTTTGAACTCAAATTCATCATTTGACTTACATTTATATATAGGCAAATAAATAATTTATTTAATTGAAATTTAGTTAAAAAGTGATATTACAACTACTAGAAAATGGTAGCGTAAAAAATAGTACTATAAAATACCTATTTTATATTGTACTTCACTATTTGAAAAAACACAAAAAAAAACACGTATTAATTTATACAAATGTGTCATATACGTATTGTATTCATGAATGATTATCATTACAATTATGTACGAAAATAAATATACAAAAATAAATACCAGAAGAAATTATCAAAAAAAGAAGTTATTTATTAAAAAACTTTAAAAAATATTAATTTATGAAAAATATTTATCAATAAATAGTTATAAACATCCTTTTCTTATTTATTACTAATACTTATACTTGAATTAACAATAGTTGTAAAGAATGATAAACTTTTTTTTAACAGAACCGGATGAACGAGTAGATGAAATTACATCGTACATTTGAGTGGAAACTCCTTTGCACTGCCAAGCAAATATATTTTCCAGCGTTTAGTAATCAAAGTTTATAAAAATGAAGTTAAAATTAACAATCATTTCAAATTCAATACAAATTAAATTTTAAAAAAAGAGACATCTTGTTGAAAATTAGTGAACTGCGAAATTTTTTTTTTCATCCCAATCTGTTCTTCAAAATGTATTAAATTGATTACTTCCAGAAATAGATTATATACTACGTGTTTTTTTTTTTTGTATTAAAATATTATCAATGCATTCAAAGCAACTTTTTACTCAATAACGTTAAAATGTCACGTCTGCCGTTTTTGAAATAACCTATTCAATTTTACAATACCTAATATAGATTTAAAAAAAAAAAAATTGACTGAAGAATACAATTTTTCTTTCTTTATTTCATCAGACTCAACAATATACAGTGAATCTTCTCTATAGCGAAAAGATTCATAATATCCATCTAATTTCAGTAATTTTATAATATAATCGATTTCTGCATAATGTACTTATACTGCAGGTACATTTATTATAAATAGATTCCAGGAATATTTATCGTAGCTTACTTCAAATATATATTCTGAAAATTCGAAATACATTAAAAAAAGCTTTTCATATTTTTTTTTTATCAACTCCGTCCATTGAGCAATTTAGCCCCTTGATTCAAAACAGGAAAAATACAAGTATATGACATTTTTATGGAAAAAAACTTTTTCGTTGCTGAAAAAGCATCTCATTTTGATTACTTTTAAAGTAAAATTGTAATCCGCCCATTTTAGGATCCATATAGTAGTCGGTTTCGAATCCTCCAAAATAGAAAATATAAATTATTTTATTTAGTTATTTCTTTTGGATCCGGTAGTGATTAATACTACAACACTCTAAATAAGTCATGTTAATGTAGTCATGACTGATTGGTACCCGAAGGGGAGGGGGTGGGGGGTAAGCAGCAATTGGAGGGGGTTGCTCCGCCATCTTGAAGGCCACACCCTCCTGCGATTGAGCAATTAGCCAAGGGTAGCTACTTTCTCCTCGCTCCAGTATTAGTATATGTTTAGCATATATATATATATATATATATATATATATATATATATATATATATATATATTTGTGTGTGTATATTTTATATTTAATTTCAAATATTTTCACACTACTTGGACCATGAGAATAATTCGCAAAGTAATAAGAAAATTAAATAATTCAACGTAACATAACATGAGTGAATCATTTCTGATTTTTTTCGGTAGTTCTAATCGACCTAGGAAAATAAAATTATTATAAAATTGCATTCATGTTTTAAACAAAAATGTTTACTTATTACAATAACCTGTATATACGTATTATAATAACCTCAGTTAATAATGGTCCGAATTAGGTGATTTGATCTAATTGAATTTAGTTATCTCACAAATAATCGTCTAAAAATTTATACTTTTTGAGTTACTCGCAAATAAATTCTCTTTTCCTTCATAACTCTTTTCCTGAAATTTCGGGAGGATGTAACTATTTTTCGAATCTGCAGTTGAAAATCTTTAAAATTAGATATCAGTCATTGAATTTGGTCAAAAATTGACTATGATGTGACATACCGACAAAAAACCACCTTTGATAAATAACATATAAATTAACGTTTCCACTGAGAAAAGCACATTTCATCACATTTTATATGTTATCTGCAAAATAGAAATTCCTTTTAGAAGTTTTAAAGCCAAAAAAGAACAACAACAGAAAAAAAAATGTTATCCACCCTTAGAAGAAGAATAAATGAATAACGAGTCGTTTAAAAAACACTCGATCTCAATAATAAGTAAATTTTAATATTTGAAATAATGATATATAAAAGGTGAGTCGGAAGGAGTGGTTACTCATAAAAAATAATAATAAAAATCATATGTTCTTGTACGATTTTCATTTGTTTAAATTTTATTAGCTAATTACAAAAAAAACGAAATTTTACAAATAAATTGCATAGATGCATTAGTATTTTGTTAATCGAAGTCTTATTTTAATAAATGTTTAAAAATTCTACAATCAACTTCTAAAAATTTCCTGCCAGAAATAAACATCAAAATCACTGCAAATTTTGTTACTAATCATATGTAAATATCAACAAAATTATTACATATTTTGTTACAAATCATATCATATAAATTAATAAAGAAATTAATCATATCATATAAACGTATATATGTTTGATCAGAAGTCACATTAATTAGCAAATAGCTCAAGAATGTTATTTTCTTTACTTAACTTGTATTTCCACATTTTTAGGGAACTCTAAGTATGGGAGTAGAAAAATAGGAAAATAATTTTTATCAATCAAAGTTTAATCTAAGCTCAGTTTAATTTTTTTATAATAAATGTTTTACAGAGATTGAAAGAGTAGTCACTTATAAATTACATGTTATTTTGAATATATCTAGATGGATGGAATTTCCACGTTCGTTCTGAAGGAAAAATGGAAAAATTTAACTGACAAAAAGAAATTATTTTAAAAATATGGTAGAAACTCTGATGGCAAACATCGTAAAATCATTCATAGTTTAAATTGGCAGAATTTTTTTTAATCCCAAAAATCTACCACTAGTTTGCAATTGAATGATTTTTTTTGCTTATTCCAAAAATATTCAGTGTAGTTTTTTTTTAAGTTTTTTTTTTTACGATTTTTGACTTTATATTTCTCATATTTTCCTAGATAGTTTTATACCATCCATTTTTTATAAAATAGCATTGAGGAATTACTGGAAGGCATTACGAACCTTATCATCCAGCTAGTAAGAAAAAATA